GGGTTCAGTAGAATGAGTGCTAATGTAAAAAATAACACCACAAACCACAAAACCCAACAAAATCCCTTTACCGTGCAGCACAGTAGCTCAAAAATATAATTCTGTCACTAGGGGTCAGTATTAAAACGCATTACCTTTACACACCACAGCTAGTGGCATTCTATTGTTGATCCCCTCCTTCAGAAACACAAACTTACGTTATAAAGAAGAATTATTAAACTATAAAAAAAAGAGAAAACCTATACAATGGATTATTACCTACTTCTGTTCTGAAATGTAGCTGTCACGTACTAGACATTTTTTTCCGTTCTCATAAATTAACACATACACTAATGCAAATGTATTATCTTATGTAATACCAACACTTCAATATTGATTCATTTATACGATCCATATGCAGGTTCCATCTACAATCTTGAAAGAGAAAGCTATGATTAAGTTTCCCATTTTCTAATAGGGAAGATTACTACGTAGTGATATTACTACCTAATGGTAATAATCATTACTTCCTAATCATAAAAACAAAATTTGAAATGTAAGAAAACTGGACATTCTTTAAATCTATTCCTTGACAGCCATACCTGTCTTAAAACCAATGAAAATCTGTTGTGGATACTGAAAATTTCCATTTAAGAAGGTGAGTGACTCTCACTACAGGTAAGCATTATGTACATGGAACAGACCAAGGATGTATTTTGGGTCATTAGATCAGCACACGAATTTCTATTTGGAATAGATGCAGCACCCACTGAATTCAAGGGAACAACTCACTTTCTCCTCACTGGGCACTGCCCATAACCAATGAGTTCCCAACCCATCCTCCTACCCCCAGCCTACTCCCAAATCTTGGAAATCTTGATACATTTGAGAAAGCATACATTCAGATGCTGTGATAATGCTTGTAACTGCCTATATGGATATAATTTTGTTACTGTGAATAGGTCCACTGATTCCTGTGAAAAATTAAAGAATTAGAAAATTAAACAACACCAAGCTTGCTGACTTGCAATTTTTGGGATGATAACTCACTATCTTGAATCCAGATATAATACTTAGAAATATGTAATGTGACACTAATTATAAACCCCAGGAGAAATATTCTGCCAGATCATAAGTCTGTCATGTACCACAATTTCCTGCAGCCCTTAGTACAGCTGAACAAAAACCATCCCTTTCCTTCTGCCCCCAGACCAAACTCTAACTGAATGCTATAAATATTGCGCTTAAAATAAACAATTTAAGACAAATATTATTGAGGCTGTTAATTAGTTTTCATGTCCAGTACAAAGCTCTAAATTTCAGAGCACATGTTTTTCTTTAGTGGTAACTCCATTAGGTGCCCAGAATTCAGACACTGCCAGATTTATGAAGACAGCTATTAGAAATGGCATTTGCGCTACAACAATACTGAAGAAAAGAGCTGGTCAAATTAATGTCTGGCTAACTGGTACACTTGAGATCTTATTTCTGTGTGTTGCTTCTAACTAATACCATGTTTAACACTATTAGCTTATCCAAAATAAATGAAAAGTGAAAATAATTGATTATATTTTAAACAGGAAAAAATAGGCAGAGGCTAAAATAAAACGTTTGTTTCTGTAGTTAGTTGAATAGCACAGAATAATTTATTTTGCTGTCCAATAGATGGCACTGCTGTTTCTTTGTTTGTGTGTAATTTTTCAATTTGTGCATAATGTACATTATTAAAGTGACTGTGCCTACATTTCCCGATGCTTGGACACATCAAAACCAGACAGATTTCATAGATTCTTTAAAATGGCATTCTGCTGTCCAAATAACTGTATACAGTTTTCCATAAAGCAAGTTACTGTTGTGGATTAAAAAATGTGAAGTGGCTGCAAATACCCAACTGAACATAATTCTCTTCTTCCCAGAAGCAGACCACAGAAACAAATTCTGTATCAAGAATGGCCTCAGAGGTATACACATAGTAGCATAACAAAATAATTTCTTTATTGTATGTTAGAATAAGGACATGGGACTTTAAACTGCAGTATACTTTGCAATTTTATTTTATTTAGCCTCATTATTAACAAGTTTACAATGAATTTATCATCAATATACAGCAGCATTAAAATTCCATCATTACCTTATGATAAAATTCTGACAAAAGCATCATCTGGGGTGTCCATCTGTAAACTAATGAGGCATTTGCCTACCATACTTTTTCCTATGTGCTACTGAAGCATGACACAACATCAGCTCTGCAGCAAAAAAAATTAATGCTAAAATATTTTAGCAGTTATTTATAGTAATTTTTAAGTGTTCTGGTAGAGATCACACTGAAAATCCGTGCTTTTCAGTAATGCTGAAAACTCAAACTGTTTGTATAAGACTCATTCTCTTCTGCTCTAGATCTTTGGTTAAAATACTACAAGGGCCAGAGTCATTTATTAATTTATTTATTTTTGCCAAACTGTGGTTGCTTGGGGACTGGTGTGCAATGACAAGCTGGTCTCTGTCCCGTTCACCGTGAACAGGTGTTCTAATTACGAAACCTCCACCATATTTGACACCTTTATTAGCTGTCTCAGTTGAGAAACAAAGGATTGATTGGGTAGGGCTATAGAACTAGCCTTTCATTGCTGTGGGGAAGCACCTAAAGGTCAAGGTTAATATACATTAGTGGGGGGTAGTATTGCCGATTGCCTATGCTGTTCTTGTGTTATTAATCAATGGAAGACTTTAGCCTTATGAGCTTGCTATTGTGGAAGCCTTAATGACGCAATTTGTTTTAACTTGTATTTTTTTCCTTATATGAAAAGCAGACGCCACTTCTTGATCAAATACTCCTAAGAAGAACATCAAATCTCCAGCAAAAATAGCAGTGTCTTGTATGCTGTTTGCATTCTGTAACATATATTGTACAAAATGAAAGGGCAAGGTACGCATCCTTCAATCAATACCATACATGCAAAAATGCTCATGAAATGAAATACATCAGAACACGTGTATATGAGTTAAATAAGACTGAGTTTTTAGCTGGCCAGTGAAAAATGAAAACATTTATAGTAAATAGTCTTTCCCTTTACTGTAGCCATTTTATTCTTGCCATATAAGGTCTACCTGCTAGTACTAGCTTTATGATTTAATATTCTTGGAGGGTTTATAACAAGAATCTAATATATAACCAATAAAAGGGCACTAGTCTCATTAGTCTCATTTGGGAACAGAATATTGTCAACATAATTACACAGCAAAGTCACATTATTATAAAAGTGTATCAGCATCTTCATTATATATACACTTATTTTCAGTGGTTTACAAGACACACACACAAAATATTACAGAATGAAATATGATTATGGTAACTCAATCTGGAATGCATTTTCTCCAAACTATTTTTTTTTCCTATTATGTGAATGTAAAATAAATATGGGCCAGACAGTCAGTGAGCTGGAAATACACTAATTTGTATCAGCTGAGGGTTCTACTCTATATATTCATTTATAGATCCCCGTCACACTTGGACCTTCTATGACTTATTAATGGTTTTGATTTAGAAATGAAGCTTTGAAGTAATTATATAGTCACATGGCATTCATCCAATATACATATTTAATGTAAATTATTGCTTCCTGATTTTCACAGAAGACCTGTGATTAGATTATCTGGTGCTTCCATATTGTACTTGGAGCTGGATTGCAAAGAGAGAGAAGTATATGTAAGCCACCTTTACAATTTCCTGACTCTGCCCAGCAAGAAACAAATACGGACTCCATTATAATGCAGAGGAACAGAGACAGCTATTTCCCTGCCTGAGGTCTCAGAGAATTGTTCTAGCAGTTGAGCTAAACAATGTCCTGACTATCTTCTTGGCAAAAGAAACTGAATGAGTTGGCATAAGCTGCTATACCAACCCCAAACTCTCCAGAGATTCCCTTTTCACAATGTGAAACCTCAAAGGGCTACGCTATGAAAAACAGCTGTAGCGGAGCTGAAAGCTTGACCCCTAGACTGCAGTACTGTGCTCTTTTTACGTGTGTATGACTCCCACTGACACCAACTGAAGAGTCATGCACATGAGGAGAGCAGAATATCAGAGAAAAAAATCATCTACTATGTGAATCTGAGAACAGAGTTCTATTCTCTTGTGTCAAATTATGGCTCCATCTGGTAACATTAAGTGAATACTGGTGACTATTAGAGATGAATCAATAAATTGAAACAAATAATTTATTTGGTGAGTTATTTTACTTTTTCACTTCAAAGAATGCTTGTGAATGGATTACAACTTCCTTAAGTATATTCCAGGAAACTTTAGGGAATTTTATTTTATGGTTTGTTAGTTACATGTGATTGCTCATATACGTCAGCCTGCTCTGTTTCTTTTCCCTGAACAGAACTTTTAATAGAGCTGGGATAACAGAACTCTGAAACTGACAGTAGAATTTAGTTGATACAATTATTTTGGAACTCAGAGTCAGCTAACCATCCTTTGTTAGTTATTTTGGATACCGAAGTTACACTTCTTTTAGAGAATGCACTGTGAGGATTCTCTATTACTTGGGAAACAATAAGAAAGACAAAGCCAATATTCAGCATATCTGAGTGCTATCTCCCTCAAAGAATGGGTTTAAATCACTCAAAAAAGTTTCATGAACCATCAAATTTTAAAAGATACCTTACTGATTTTGAATTTTTAAAAAATATCCTGCATTGAATGTCTTAGATTACGAGACATATTTTCCTCATATGTTCTCTTCAAAACATGATTTATATCTCTGCTTTCATCACATCTGCTTCATACCTTTCCTTGATAAAGCAAACGTAAGTAGAGATAGCGTAACTCTTGTAACACTGATGAGAACCAACCTGTCTCAGACGACTCAGAAGCACCAAAAAGTGCCTTACAGTCAAATTCAAACAGACCTGCCTTGTAGGATAAGGTCAAGATGAAGCATTCTTTAACAATCAAAATATTATCACTTGTGTTCAGATTAGTGTTTTAAATAATAATTTAATTACTGCAGACTCACCTTACATTAATAGGACTGGCTGCTGTCAGATTAGCTAATGCTGTCACTGCAGCTTCTTTTACCTCTTCATTGTCACTGCTTAGCAACTGTACTAGCTGGGGAATCCCTTTGAAAGAAACAATTGTATACATGAACCTCTTAGTAAACCATGGCAGTCTGCAAAATTATAATATGCTCCTTGTAAAAGGAAAAGCATAGATACTCAGTTCATCCCTTCCCATCTTGCTTACCTTGGAGTCCAAATGCACGTTTGCTAGCTAAATTCTCACACATGGCAGAAATTGCTTGGGAAGCAGCAATTTTAACTCCATCATTATCAATTTCCAAAAGGTTTATGAGACACTTCTCAACCTCTTCCTCATTTAAGATTTTTCTATTTTCAGCTTTAAATGAAAAAGAACAATAGCATAAATCTGCATTAATTTTCCAAATCAGTGAAAGGACATGAATTTGATTTCATATAGTTGTTTCCAACATAATACTTGCTTTTGATACCATGGAAATGGAAATATTTTGGTAATAGAGGCACTAGCAATTAAGAAACGTGCACAAAGGACCTGATCCAAACCCCATTAGTCTTCGGTGAACTCTGAATCAAGCCCAAAAGATGAACTATTACATACAGCTTTAAACATACATAGCCCAGTAGAATGCAAGGTTCATTCTCTGTAAGCCTTAAAACCGCAGAATCCATACAGGCTTGATGAAAACAGCTTTTCCCATTCAACAGATCATACTTACTCAGGATCACGCTTAACTTTGGTTTACGCTAACGAAGTCCAAATGGATAAAATCGAAGAACATACTAGTAAATGTACAACTGAACTTGGTGGAGTACCAGTTAATGTACTACAATAGTCAAAAAAAAAGGCAAGGGGTTTTAAAAATGGAATTTAAAATTTTGCACAGTTTGCAGTTCTTCATTAATGCACACTTTGCAGAAAATTTCATTAGTATTTTAGTCTCGTGACACAGGGTTCACTGCTGACCTACACTGCAATGATTGGCAGCAGCTAAGGAAGGACATAGATGTTCCTTTCTCTACACAAGTAATGACACAGAGTGCCTACAAAGTATCTACAAGCATCTGACAATTATACTACAAACTTACTCAACCCCAAATGGACAAGATCAGAAGTGCAGGTCTCTGTCAGAGAGTGCCTTGAGTGAAACTTTCTCAGCCAGAAAGGCACTGGACAGCATAGCAGCTCTGCACTTATGAGGGTCAATACACATTTGACCATATGCATAATTTAAAGCAGATTAATTACATGCTTGAAATTATATCTACATAGTAAAATTTTCAAACATATCAAAGAAATTCAGGAATAGAGAAGTTAGTTGGAATTCAACATATTTGGAAATTTCACCAGTGCTTACTAATGCTTTGAGGGATCATTTGGACTCTTGTTTTATGAATAAAAAGTTTTAAAAGGAAAGAAAAGTATTCTTTTAAATAAAATCAAATCTGTAGTGAATAAAAATACACAAATAGAAGTCCACAAAGCCAATGCAAAGAAAGTTTGATTGAAAATCTAGTTACAGCAGAAGTAACTCCATGCACACACGTAAGATGCTAGCTGTTTCCTCCTCTCTGGCTCAATTTTAAATATTTTTAGAATCATCAGAGATACGCAATTGAAATCACAAAGCAAAAGATTCAGCAAATAAAAGAGAGAGGATTTTAAGTGTCAGTAGAACCTTGGCCACAACCTTGATGCATATCAGCCAGATCTCAAGAGAAGGCCTTAACTGGGATTACAGACCGTTTTGACAATTTATCCAGTGTGCTGCTGGCCTGTTGCTTGCCAAAGTAGTCCATAATCCCTAATAATGATCTCTAGAGGTTCTTCATGCCTCCGTAATTTGGTTCTTGTGCAGCAAGTTACCTATTACTATACAGACTTTCTTAAAAATTCTTGCTTTTAAAGGCAGTTGTAATGATAGGTAAGTGTTTCATTTTAAAGATAATTGATGCCTATATGAAATACTACTAATAATATGACTAATTCATTGGAATGAGTGAAAATAGTGATTTTAGAATATTTTAAACAGAATAAAGAAATTTTCAATAATGTGGAAAAACAGATTTTGGATTTGAATTTACCGTTAAGAGTATGCACCTATATTTATCTAGCTAGACAGATGAAAAGTATTAATATTTTAAGATCCAGGTGCCAATTCAATTTCAGGGATTAATAGATTCTGCTGATCCTCTCTCTGTTTGTATGAGTTGTTTCCTTTACTATAGAAAAAAAACCCATACAATTGAAAAGCATCCTTTGTACTTGAGCACTTCTCATGTCAGTGCCAACACATATTTACAGTCATGAATTTCTTGACCCCTAATTAGTTTTAAGCCATTGATTTAACACAAAGTAAAATACTCAGGCACACCCACCTAAAAGAGTCTGGAGTACTAACACTTCTGTCCAGTTTTTCGTGCATTGACCCCATGATGAGCCAACCTTTGTTTTTCAATATATTTTCCTGTTTCCCAGTCTTACCCCAAAATCACGATCAGAGTTCTACTGCTTACCTATTCAGCTCACTGTCATCACCTTGTGGAATTATTTATACCAATTTCAAATTAAAAAGTTAATGCTAAATAGTATCATGACCTCTCACTGATCCCGAGTTGAGATAACCCAGATAAATAAAAACCTGTATTATGAAAAAGCATATGTTAATCATGCTTAGTATGCTCCCTTTTGAGAGGATTTGCATTTAGATACAGGTAAAGAACAGGGAGAGCTTCAAACTAGAAACCTGGCAGAGTGAGACCAAATTTGAGTGAACGCTATCATCACTTTTTCCATACACACTCCATAGCACTTTGTTGTTGCTGGTGTGTCTGGCATTGTCAAGGGAAAGTCAGACCCTCCTTAATCAACAGTCCAGATAATCCACTCAGAGATATTCAATAATTTATAGCATTAAATTATATTTTGCATTCTGAAATGACTGCATTACTTGCTGGGCAAGGGGGAAATCACAGTAAAATTCACCACTGTAATTGTGAGCATACAAAATAAAACCATTAATAATATATTAAATTAAAAATAATGTTACAGAACAAAACAAGTTTCCAGGGGCAAAGGGATAATGATTATGTATAGAAATATGATAAATTTAAATTTACTTAAAGAGAGCAGCATCCTAAAGATGCTATTTAAAATTGAGTATAGTGTTTGTACCATACAATTTATTCTGATATTGAGAATAGCTCTTAAGGGATACACCTGTCCTATAACAACAACAAAAAGTTACAGGAGTTCCTTTTCAAAGGACTGAAAGGGACACAAAACAAAACCATTTGCTATGATCACATCTATCAGGAAAAAATCAAAACTAAATTATATCTGTCAACAAAAATAATTTCAAAACCAGACACTGCTGTATACTCAGCTGCCAGGATTTAAAAAAGCAGATAGATACTTCTGCTATGATAGAACATGTAAGTTTGTAATTTCAAGGAAAAGCAGTATCTTTTTTTCTCAACTATGTGGGAAATGTTGGTAAACTGCAATAACAATTATCAGACCTGAAGAATGTGGGCTACTGTATGGCTATTGCAAATTTAAGAAAAAAGTCATAAAGGAACTTAGAGATGTGTTGTATTATATTGGATTTACATCAACGCAAGTATTAGTATAGTATACATTAGTGTTGCAGTTTGGATAGGCTGTTTAGTATGTTTACAACCAGAATCCAAACAAACGAGAACTGCAAATATTTCTGTTTTCTTTTTGCACTTGGACTACTTCTTATAATGGTCCCAATGCAGCTTTTCTTTCCACTGACTTTAGACCATTAGCTCTATGTATGTGAAATAAATTCAATACTTCTGGGGGCCATGCTGAGCAACAGGTTTACCGGACTGTGTTTTCCACTGTACCGGTACAGTATGTTGCCCTTTGTCTAACCAGTTGTCACCAAATTCTACAGCTTGGAAGCCAATATTTTAAATCTTCTTTTGATCTATTTTCCCAGCTTGCTGCATCCATACCAACTGTCAAAGGCTGAAGAAGAGCGCAAACCTTTATAATGAAACCACATTGACTCCATTTGTAAAGAAGTCTGACAAGAAGATGCATCTTCACTGACAGTAACATCCCATGATATAAGATCATAGGCAGTACCGTAATATATTATGTGTAGTTCTTGCCACTGTGCTTTAAAAACATTGTGTTCAGACATGCTTCTACTAACAGCTGCTAAAATATTAGGCCACAAAACCTGAAAAACACGTGAAACAGGAAAAGAAGGCTATGCTTATTTGAAAATAAATATGAAAAAAGGAGTAAGATGCAGTAGGAAGTAGTAGGAGCAAATATAAATCTCCTTAGAATACTACTTACAAGCCTGTCACAGGACTATAAAAATGACACTGATAGTCTTAAGTAGCATAATAAAATAACAATACAGGAAAATACACAAAGAAAGAAGGTCCCTTCCTATCTTCGATACATAAACATTAATAAAAATAATTTTCAGTGACTTGCAAAGCTTCCAATAGATAATGATAAAAGCATATAGAAACTAGGAAAGGTAGGTTCCACTCTTTTCACATATCATTTGCAATCCAAATAATTACAAATATTCAGGATATCAAACTAAGGAAGGTGAGAAAAGAATTGGAAAGATAGGATGGGGAGAGAAGAAAGGTCTTAAATACCGTAGATAGGAAAGATTGTTTTAGCCATGTATTAAATTGGATAAATTAAAGCCACGATTCAACCATGAGATGATAGAAATATGAATGAAATATTTAAGCTCTACTGTCATAGTTATTGTCATCAAAATCCCTTGACAGAATTAAAATCTTCTATAGACAGAAGTATGTTATTTCTCATATTGCATTTTGTTACATAGCACTACTAGGCATATGTTGCAACTCAGAAGCCAAGGTATGGAAGGAATTTCAAAAGTAAATTTATTTAAAAAGCATCTTTGTGGTCAAAAATGATGAGCATATTCTGCCTAATTCAGAATTCCTTGGTGAATTAAAGAAAAATGTATAAAAAAAGAAATATAGGATGAATAATTATAAAAAGATGACAAAGAAACTATTTAGCTCCACTGGGAATATTAATCTGCAAGCCATTTGAAAGGCTTTTTTTCACGGCCCTGTTAAAGGAATTTGTATTTGAAATTGCCTGACATTTAGACGAGCAGTTGTATGTAAAAGTAAGCTTGTGATTAAGTCTGATAGCAATAACAAATGGTGCCAGTAAAGGTGGCTTAAGATGGCAGTTACCTAGCATCACTAAATAAAATATAAAGATCATATTCTCAGAGCTCCATTTTCCTTTAAGGACCACATTTTGCAAGAACGTATTACATTTAAAAATAAATTGAGGCAAAATCTTAACATTTTCATATGTATATAGCCTAGTATCCAACTGCTGCTCTGACCGGCAAGATTCATCACTTGCCAGTGTTTTCCTCAGCACAAGTACTACCCTCAACCAGATAAAAAGGCCTCATTCCAGATGAAAATTTACTTCATAAACAAATATGCAACCATGGATTTTCAAAAAGTCACATACAGTCATAAGCTGCTTTGGTAATTGCCTTTGCTGCATTCTTCTGAATATCAGGAACAGTAGAGACTCCTACAAACGAAAGTAGCTTTTTAAGGCCTCCTGTCTGCTGAATCAGTTGCAGAGTATGCACATCTTCAAGACAATTTCCAAAGACAGCAAGAGCTTCCACATGTAGATCACTGAACTCCTAATGAGGAAAAAAATCCCAAACAAATAACCTTCAAATCAGGATTAAAATATCTTTGGCTTTTAACTTTGTTGGGTAATTGTCATAACTTTCTTTTGGACCGTTTATTCACACTGCAAAGTACATCTTTTCATACTCATATTTTTTGTATTATTTCTTTGATGTACCTTAGGATGCAACACAATTTATCAAAAACATTAAAAGCCCTGAAAGTTTCTCATTTAGATCAAAGTGGGTTAGGGAGGTATTCAGAAATGACTAGTCATCTTAAAATTTCAAAAACTTCACGAATTTCTCTATGCATTATATTTGCCATGGTGACATCTGCACTCAGAAGCACCAAAATGAGTCTCATAATAACATAAACAATGAAATTTCCAAGGTAGGAAATTATACTTAAGGCCATTGATATCAAAGTAAATTGAGAAAAAAAAAAAGATCAGTGTTCAAATTAGGAACAGGCAACAGAATTCAGCATGTAATAAAAACTTTTGAGAAAACATCATATAAAAAGCTATATGGTGAATTTTTTCTGATATTTACAGCAGTTTGAGAAATGGATAGTAAACACAAAACAGTATTACTAACAGCAATAAAGCAATACAAACATTTTGGTGAATCTCTTTGCTCTTTAGTAAGATTGGTATCCTAGCTAATCCTATTTCTACCATAGTTAGCTTGAAGCAAGGAGCTCTTTCTTATTTATTCCTCTTCCATAACATGAATAATATTTCTCTTTAGTCATACAAACATTAGCAGCAAGAACAAAAACTTCTAAGAGAAGTAAACCATACATTGGTTTCCAGTATCTTCAGAAGACAATCTAATCCTTTATTTTCTCCCAGTATTATCCTGGTTTCTCTGTCTCTGCTAATTACTTCTAAGGTTTTAAGAGCTAACAACTGAATAATTGGGTATTCAGATTTCAGTAGTTCTAGCAAGGGTGGAATTACATTCAGTGCACGAACTGCAGCACGGCTTTGAAAATCCTGCAGTAAAATATTCAACAAAGAATGTTAGTGATGGAGAATATAACAGTACATCAATTCCTGACTTTACAGAAAGAACACCAAAAATCTGATTTCAAACATACAAAAATGAGTCAATATTCCAGAACTTCCAGTTCTGAAGATTTCTTTCTTTTCAGCTAAGAATCAAACTGAATATAATCAAGCCCCATCAACCTTAAATTCAAATTGTTTTGCATGACAGAAGTACACACTACAGAATCTAGCCCTGTTTAAGGAAGCCTATTTCCTCTTGCTTTTGCCATGTCTGCCTCAACATAGATGTTTCCTTGAGGAAGTTTTTTAAATTCAGTTTCATCATTTTTATTTACATTAGCAGGAGGAAAATAGTTTTCACATTCAACTGTAGTTGCCTGGTTAGATCTTCTTTTGTTTTAGTAATTACAAAATGACAATTTAAAATTTCAACTTTAAACAGTGTATATGCAGCTTAATAAGAAGACAGTACTAAATTATATTAAAATAGAAATAAATAAATAAATTACAATTTGCTTTTAAATAGCTTATTGCACATGTGCAGCATGCAATTATCCTTATCAATACAAGCAAGCACCAGGTGCAGTTATCCAGATATACCCTGCAACAAAGACAGCAAGATAGTAAAAAAGGAGAAAGAGTAAAATGTGATTCTGAATAGACATGCTCTGATGCCCCAAAAGAGATAGAGTTATAAACTGAATTCATTATTGAATTGATTCGCTTAAGCCATGGAAGAGAACTGCCATACAAATGCACCATTCTTTTGCTAAGCAGCATATGGATGACATTAGTGCTGAGTGTGAAAGCAGCCAACGACAAATCTATTCCTCGCAGCATGGAAAGTAGCTGTTGACAGCATTCACCTATCATTAAAAAGATGTTCAAAACTGTGGCTATGGACTTGCTGGCCAAAACAAGGCACAATGCAATTGCTAGTTCTTTAATTTACAGGATTATTCCAATCTTTTGGATAGACAGATTATAATGCTCATTACAGAGAATAACATTCGATAACTAAGAAAACAAATCCATATTTAATTAAAATATCTGAATCTGATTCTGATCTCACATGGCTGTACAGCATGGATAATTGCATTAAGTTCAACAGAATTAGAGTCAAATCAGTCATATTCATAACTAAGGTAACAATTAAGGACTTGGCTGTACTGTTTTCAAATACATTGATGAACAATAAGGAACCAAATATTTTAAAATTATTAACCTCAAAGAGGATGGCAGGGGTGGAGGGTAAGTACTTGTCTGCCTCTGTAATTTAAAACAACAAGAGCAGCAAACTTTACCTGCACCAGGAGGTAGATACATTCAACCGAATTCTTCTTAACATCAGGATCAGGGCTACCTAGCAGTCTGATAAGTGGTTCTAATCCACCTTGCTCAAATATTTGTACTTTAGTTGTATACTCAACAGCCATGTGTGCTAGACAGAGCGTAGCAAATTCATGTATAACTATATCTTCTGTGGGGAAAAAAATAAATATTTTAACCAAGTTTATTCAGTACAGTATACGTTCACTAATTCCATGGGTGGTTATCCAGTGTCAAATATCCAGTGTCAAAGTATTATTTGAAGTCAATAAACAATAGCTGTTAATCATACCTGACATATCCATAAACATGTTGCTCCATCTGTACAACATAAAACACTACTCAGTAACAGAACTTCTCCTATAAAAGCAATTACCTATTTAACCTGTAGTATGACAAATTATAAGTTACAAGGAAGATTTTATTAAATTGTCTGATCAAATGGCAATAATAAATTATTTCTGAGTGTATTTTTGCACAAGGAATGAATACTGCAAGCTACCTTCTGGCGCCAGCTGTGATATAAGTGAATTTGTGACATCCAGTTCCCTCAGTAACTTCTTGACATCATCTACAATGAAATACATACAAATATGAAGTCTTTCATTTGGCAGTCTTGGCTGAGTAAAGAAACAGATTCTGCTCCATGGGATATGTACTTACAGTTACTCCCTGAGTGGCAAAAAGATCTGATTGGGAACGACTCACAACTGAAGTTATATCAAGATCATAACAGGCCCAGAAATCATAGAGGAGATATTGAAGTACCAGAAGACATTCTTTGACATCTGATATATATAAAGTTCCCCAATACTTCATTGAAACTTTATTCAAAATACTTGCACCTAGCAGGTTCTGATTAAATGTTGCACAGTTTTAGTCATCAAAGAAGTCATACTCCAATAGTTAAAATTATTTGTGGTTAAAAATCAGAAAACTAAAAGCAATCCTTCCGTTATTTAATTTTCAAGCCATCACTTTCCAATTCTATGCTAACATAGCCCACACTGCAAATTGAAATTACAAATTATATAGGTCTACTAAAAGCACAGTAAAGACTTTCAGAATGCAGTTTTATTGTTGTTAATGTTAAACTAGCAAAAAACCACAACCACGTTGAATTTACTTTTGAAGAAAAAAAACAATTAAGATGCGAATATAAATGGGAGATCTTCAGTCATTCAAATCCATGTTTGTGAAGCACTGTTGGAAGCCAGGGTCTGAAGGGAGTAACTCTATACTAGCACAGAGTTGAAAGTAAGGCAAGGAGCATAAGGTCCAGTGCAACATGAAAAGCAGGTAGCAGTTGACAAAAAGACTTAAATAGTGGTTAGGATACCACCATGGAAGACAATTGGGTAGAACATGGACCAAAATAAGGCCTGATTAATCGTATTAATTAGATGTAGGTTTACAAAGCAATGTAAAAATAACAAAAAATAACAGCCACTGAAACTCAACCTTATGTCATTTCTTTCATCTTCAGGTATGCCTACCTACCACTCACTGCAGCTTGATCGTTTGGCACCCAATGTAATACATCCATTCTCACCTTACAAAAGGTACAAGAAAATCTGCATATACTGTGGTTAAATCATTTAATAATGGTACGGCTACAGTATATAACACTACCTTGCCATGAATGCAATGTCTCAGAGAGATATTCAAGACTACTTGAATTTCATTAGCTCAGATACAGGTAACAAAACACTTAGAGTAGCACTGACCTGCCAAAGAAGCTGGGTAAATATGCATGCCAATGCCTGAAAATTCAGGGCTTTTTTGCCATCAATGCTTGAGTTAGCTACATTAAATTTAACACATTTTCTCCCTTATCATTGTAGTTACATTAATGCCTCAAGTAACAACTGATATTCAACCACAGCATTTCTGTAGATGATAAATACTACTTTATCCTTCTCTTCCAACTTCTGTAAAAGAGAAGAGTGTGTCATATCCACATTGGCAGGCATCTTATGTAGTCAGGATTTCCCTGATGGACATAATTCCAGTATTAAACTGTTTCAGTTTGGTCCCGTGAAAACAAAAGTAAGGTATGGAGGAAAATTAACTTATCTTGTAATTTTTTTCAAAATCAGTGGAGTTCACTCTAGCTGAATTTGTTCCTTTATTCTGGGCCATCAATATAGGATTTTTTCACATGGGCCACCTATTGCTTTGATGGTCACACTCATACACATCTAAAAATCTAAAAAATGGAGACGCTTACGATTAGAAGCCATGATGCCAAATACCATGATGGCATTTCTGCGTACAATTGGATCGTCATGTGAGATGAGTTTATACAGATGTTCCACTGCTCCAAGACCAAGAAGTGTCACTTTGTTTTCATCACCTGAAGAGTAATTAGGTCAAAAGTTCTACAAAAACGCAACAAGCTCACAGTTCCAACGTAACAAAGTGAAACAGCTACCAATCTTTTATTGGACTGTAGAATCACAGAACAACGGCCTGGATAGGACCTTGGGAGATCATCTAATCTACACCCCAAATAAGCATGTGTAAAATACTATCAAGGATTAATAGTACCTAGGATTAATTCACATTTGTAAAGCAAAGGATGCTGCTGTCTATTGGACACCCAACTCATTTGCTGGAGACTGCAGTGGTAGTACGAAGGACAGCTTTCAATTTAGCAACATATAGGTGAATGATATCATTAAGAACCTCATTTTATTTTCCTCTTTTCTTGCCTCCTAATTTTATTTTCCTCAAAATAACAGCTAATTAATTCTGTGGATTTGCACTACCCCTCAACTGAAGCAACAACCAGGATTTGGATCACTAAATCCCACCTGAGATTTCTACCACCTGGGAATGGAGCACTTTGTAGCTGAATAGGCTCTGGCCATGCAAAGAACAGAAGCATTTTGTATGACTACAGCCTTCTGTTCCTGCTCACTGAAAAACACACCCAAACCCCAAGAAACAAAATCCCAAATCTATTCCTATTCTCAGTTCCCACTACAGCTTTATACTTAATTTTCTAATGCACCATGCCTGTCCTTTCTGGCTACAAGTGAGCATTGTAAGAAGAAACTGGAGAACTATGCTCATTCTCGGGCCAAAACACAATTAAAATTTTTTATTGAGGGATGGGACTTAATTTGCTAGCAACATTCAAGAAATCACTTAACAGCAAAGTGAAAACAACTCCTTCTGTTATGCCACACTGCAAAGTTACAGTCTAATCTTCTGGAAGACTGCACGAGAATCCGCATCAACAATTTAAAGGATTATTCATTCAGCATAAACAGAAAAATTAAATATCTGTCCTCTTGCAGTGTGCCAGCGTGCCCTGGACAGCAGGGACAAACCACAGGATTTCTTTATAACTGCAAATACAGGTTTGATAAATATTTCAGAAAACCCCCCAAACCTTGACAGAGACCTTTGAGATGAAATGAAGATTTCAGTGCTAGGAAACTAAAATAATGTGAACTACTATCAAAATCTAAGCAACACAAAGGAAAGTTCACTGCAAAAAGACTAACCTTTTGATGCAAATTTATATAAAGCATCACATGCTTTGGCCAAAACTTCCTCTTCAGGAGAACTAAGCATTAGCACAACTGTTGCTGCTGTTTTGCTTTCAATCAATAAAGGATCAAACTACAAATAAAAAAAAGGAAGTAATAGTTTAATTTATACTGAACCTTCCCATTGCTGCAGTAGACTTCCACATTTCATTTAAGAAAAAAAATCTAGTTTGAGATCTACACTGAATTAGAAGTATTAACATGAGTTGCTATTTACTTGGAGAAAGTAAATTTTTTAATAACAATTTGACATTGTTGAAAAATAAGAAAGAATAATTGACTCCCAAATACAATAATGATATCATCCCATATGAAGATTTTTGGAAGACCCTGGCACTCGCCTGTACATTTAGGAAGTCTTGAAGGAAATAAATGATGTAATTCTGTTAAGAGGATCCTGCGGCTTTGAAACCAAATGTGAGAAGTTGTTTCTTTTGAGCAGCTCTGCACAGAGCCTATGAACTTCGGTGGTATATGAGGAAGAGGATTCGGTTACTCTGTGGCATTAACACTTGGTGGTTGGTTTAAAAAAATAAAAGGACCCTTCCTGTGCCTTGCCAGCTCAGTTCACCAGCTCACCATGATCTTTACTACCTGAAGTACTTCCATGATATAATCCCTGCTCATTCAGCTAGAAATGATCCGTGTTCATTTCCATTTCTGACCTCTCTCATACTGAAAGAAATATTCCAACATATCTGGCAGTTTTCACCCTCCTCTTTAGGCCTAACATCACCTGAAAAAAAAAACCTTCTGAAAAAGCCTTTTGTTCTCTAACAAGACTCAAAGATTTAGGAAAATTCTATCCATTAAAAAGTTTTAAGTTTATTTGGACTTAAAACAATTTTTACTATGTAAAAACCGTCTTCTGTCCTCACACCTTAGGGCTATAGAATATCTGTGTTACATACAGAAACTACTAGATACTGGAGGCATGCTGTCTCACCTCAATGTATTTATTTTTAAAATACAGCAGATTAATAATTTAAGATGGCAATACAAATTATTTTTAAAATTACAGTGTATATTTATACTGTACATATTTTTAAATGTCTATTATTTGTTTTGCTTCATTAAAAAACCATCTAATAGTTACATCAGAGGCACATGCTGCTGAACAATAAGGGCCTGAAGATACAGACAAGTCAGTTGTCAAGCAAAGAAATTACTTGTAGGAAATCTTCAGAAAAGTTATGAGTGTGCTAGAAGGAAAATGAACAGAGAAGAGGCTTTTTTTTCTTCTCCCTCCTTTGACTTGTTCAAAAATAAGTCAAACTATGATACTAGCACCCAGACTTCTAAATTCGTATTTTTGGTAGGTTTTTAAATCTAAGGAATTTCATCATCTTCCATGAGGTGTATCACACAGTTTAACAGTCTGCAAGATCAAGATCCAAGTTTCACTAACAGTTAAGAGGTTGCCTGGCTAATGTGCTTCTGGTCTCCCTAGCTTCAAGCAGGTCTGAAAAACTGAAAACAAGCTCCAACTTCATGCTTGCTGTGACAAGCTGAAGGCATGGGACAAGTCATGGAACAAAGCTCCTTTTTAAAGAAAATATAATCAGGTTACTATACTGTAAGTCATTTTGCTTAATAATGACTCAGCAACAAGACTTAGACCAAATAGTGGCACAGTGGTGCAAGTTACACCTTAATGATGGATCTAAAATGATGGAATTCTTTATGGGAATTCTCTTTTTGAATTGTAAGGAAACTAAAAATTCAGCTTATCACAGCAACTACCATATAAGAGGTAGTTCTACCCATAGGAGAGGCACATAGGAGAATTAAGCAATGACTGAATGACCCTTCAGCCACCTTCATACTTCTCTACTTCTGCACATTTGTGTCCTTGCATGGACAGAACGTGATCCTCCAGGTAAGTGCTATGATTTAAACACAGACATATCTCCTGAGTCTGGCCAAATACCTGGCGATGGGATAAAATTGTAAAATTCTAGTAAAGGCCGTTAGTCCTCCAGGGAATAATAAGCACAAAGATTGATCTCAGATGAAATTTAATAAGAAATGAAATATGAAATAAGAGTTTCAAAATTCAGTTATTTATTTACATTGATCTGATACCAAAGATGCTATTACATTGTTCCATTGTTGTTGCATCTCTTGTTCACGAGCAATTGTATAAACTACAGTTCAATGATAATTCCTAGGATTTAATGACAGGTTGGCACATGACGAGAGTGAAATTTGTCTAATCTCTACCCATCTGTACAGAAATTAGATCCACTACTACCATCTGAAATATTCAATACACAATTTCCTAGTAGAAGCAGTTTTGTGCTGAAAACCCAGTAAGAAGAGTCACTGAAATCAGTGTGTGTTTAAGAAGTCTGAGCCTGAGCAGGTCAGTGATTTTCTGGGAAGTACATTGTTTGACAAAACTATCATAGAACTGGATACAAGCTTTTCTTATAGTGCCAGCACAGGTAGAGTCGCTAGAGTTCCCCCTTCTGCTTTGTTTTGTTTTAAAAATCAATGCTTGCTCCTAAATCTTCATATGTCATTGCAGACTCTTCCCTTAACGGCACATATAGGACAGACTATGTGCTAGAATAATATGCCTGAAGTCACAAGCAACCTTGAATTAAACACAGAAATTTAACTGGTTTATAAGCAACAACATTTCCACATTCAGTCTGTGTTAAGAAAAAAGCAAGTTAAATGAAAATGAAAGCTATAATTCAGAAACTTCTATATGTCTTTGATCATGATTTTTGTGTTCATTTGACTTCAAAGCCATTAGAAACTGCAGAATATTTTGGGGTTTTTTGGCTTCCATCAATTTAGTTGAAATTGAAGGTAATACAAAACATGTTTCCTGTCAGACAAAAGACCCATCTAGCCCAGCACCCTGTCTCTGACAAAGGCTTGTAACAGGCATGGGCAAGCAGACTATCATTAACCTTTGCTTATATTTCCTCCCAGACTCCAGCACTCTGCAACTTATAGAACTGGTGAGCTAGTGATTTTCTCTCTGTGTTCAAAAAGTCCATGAAAAATTTTCCACCAGCTAATTTGGTAAACAATTTTTGAAGCCATCTGTATTTTAGAAACCTTTAATATTCTGAGACACAAGTATCACAGTCTAAGAGTCATATAAACAGTTGTGCCTTTTCTTTGTTTTAAAACTACCACCTGATAATTTTATTTCTCCTGCACAGTTCATTCAGCATAAGAAACACCCATTTGACGTCTCTGTGTATTCATAATTTTGTAAATTTCTATGATATTCCTCTTCACGGTCATTTCCTTTTGGGCATGAAGAAACCTACTCCTTGCATCTTTCCTAATACAGAAACCGCTCTGTCTATTCTTGTTGTCTTTCTCAGTACTTGCCCATAGTTCAACTGTACCTTTTTTGAGATGGAAACACCAGAATTCTTAATGGCATTCAACCTGTGCATGTATAATGCATTTGCTAGTGACACAGCGTTTTGTCTTTTATTTCTGGAATTTGAAATGTTGTATTTATTCACTTTTGCCTACTTAGTTACTGGCTGCCATTTTCATGACACTATCCACATTAATTCTGATGACACAGATTGCAGAATAAAAATCCCATGATATTCCACTGGCAATCTCTCTCCATTTTTGAAACCAGAACAGTAATTTGTTTTCCCACCTTTGCTTTCTATTTTATAACCAGACATTATTTCCAGGAAAGGAATTTCTTTTTACTTGATAGTGTTTACATGAGTGAAGATCCTGGTCTAAAAACTTTTGAAAAATGCACATAACTGTATCAACCAGATAACTACTATCCACTTGCTCACTGACTCCTCTAAAGAATTCAAACAGATTTCAGAGACTGAACTTTCCTCTACACAAGCAGTATTGATTCTCCCCTAGTACTATCATATTTATCCATGGTTGGGTTTTTTTTGTTGTTTTGTCTCAGGTTTTTTTGGTATTATTTCTACCAATTAACAAAGTCTGGAAGACAAACTTTCTGTAATTATTGATGTATTTCTTTTTGAAAATGAAAATTTCTACCCTCCATTCCTCTAGTACAAAGGGTACACATTAAATACCATTAAGTAACAGCACAACAATTTCAGATTTTAGTTATTTTTCAGTTAGAACAAGGCCAGGGCAAATAGTATTTATTCATATTTGGTCAATTTCTTCACATTTGTTTTAGTGATTTGCTACATAGTTTTGACTTTTGACACAAAAATACGTAATTGTGCCTTATTTTTTTTTTACTACTTTAATCACCTAACAGTGTCCTGCTAAGAAGCTTCTTGCTTCCAGTCAATTGGAAAAGCGTTATTGCTAGCTTTTGCATCCTTACTAGCTCTCTCCCAAAATATTTCGGTGCACCACAACACTGTGATTTTACTTCTCATCTATGAGTGTAAGGGGCTTTTCCTTTTCCTATTTAGATGCAAATCTCACCTTTTGAAGGATGTATTTATCCGCTATTATTCTATTGTTCAATCATATTGTCATTTCTTAAAAAAAAATCCTTTAGATTTGAATTAATTGACTATAGGTCTGCTTTATCCTTGCATATTTTGTAGACTCTTTAGAAGCATTACTGAAATCTTTGATATTCTTAAGCCCTTTTCCTTTACCTGGAAAAACAAGAGGTAATACATACCTGGTCATGCTAATTGTTCCAGTCCCGTCATTGGCTGATCTCCTATACTAACAATATAAAACCAAGATAGTCCACTGAATCACAAACAGTTGATGGTAGAAGGCATCTCTGGAGATGACCTGGTCTAACTGCCCTGTTCAGAGCAGGGTCAGCTAGAGCTCAGGACCAGTGCGCAGTTTGATCTTAAGTATCTCCAAAGATGGAGACTCCATAACCTCTCTGGGCAACCTCTGCCATGTTCCACCATTCTTATAGCAAAAAGGGAATTTTTTTCTTATGTTTAAATGGAACCTTCTGGGTTTCAGTTTGTGCCCACTGACTCTCATCCTTTCATTGAGCACCACTGAGAACAGCTCGGCCTGACTTCTTTACTCCCTTCTGTCAGGTATTTATACACATTGACAAGACCCCTCCAAGCCTTCTCTCAAGACTGAACAGTCCCAACCCTCAGTCTCTCCTCATACGACAAATGCTCCAAGCCTTTGGCAGAGTTGTTCCAGTAAGTCCATTTCTCTCCTGTACTGTGGAACCCAGAACTGGACACAGCACTCTAGGTACGGTCTCACTCACCAACGTTGAGTGGAAGACAATAGTCCCCTCTCTCAAGTTGCTGGCAACACACTGCCTAATGCACCCCAAGATTTTGTTAGCTTTCTTTGCCCCAAGTGCACATTACTGGTGCACATCCACCAGAATCACCAGGTCCTTTCCTGTAAAGCTGCTTTCCAGCTGGTCATCGCCCAGTCTGTACCAGTTATTCCTCTCCCAGGTGCAGGACTTGGCATTTTGCTTTATTAAACTTAATGAAATTCCTATTTTCCCATTTCTCTAGTTTGTTGAGGTCCCTCTGAATGGCTGTACAACCATCTCGTCTGTCAATCACTCCTCGCAATTTCCTATAGAGGTCTTCTCCAACCTTTATGATTCTAAGATCATCAAGTCCAACTGTCAAATCAGCATCACCATGCCTACTAAACCATGTTCCAAAGCGCCACATCCACACATTTTTTGAACACCTCCAGGGATGGTGACTCCAGCATTTCCCTGGGCAGCCAGTTCCAATGCTTGACCAGTCTTTCAGTAAAGAAATTTTTCCTAATGTCCAATCTAAACCTCCCTGGGTGCAACTTGAGGCCATTTCCTCTCATCCTGTCTTCTGCAGACTTGCTGAGGGTGCGCTCTGCCCCACTAATGAAGAGGTTAAACAGTACTGGCCCCAGGATCAACCCCTGGTGCACACTAACGCCTGACCTCCAGCTGGACCTCATGCTGCTGATCACAACCCTTTGAGTCTGGCAGCTCAGCTAGTTTTCAATTCATTTACACTGTCTAAGTATCTTGTCTGTAATTCACCAGTTTGTCTATGAGGGTGTTATGAGAGACAGTGTTGAAAACCTTACTAAAGTCAAGTCAAATTAATATTCAGGCATTAATTGCTCAAAAGAAGGTGTTTCTGTGGAGACTGAATTTCAGGAAGTGACAGTTCCACTTTATATATTCTACCTTTTTACATCAGTGTTGTGAATGAAACCATTTTCAAAAATACTCTGGTATGTCTAGCTTTCTTTCAGTGATAATGCCTCAGTATTTTCTCTAGTGGTAATCTTAGGCTTCCCTTTTAATGTCTATGCCATACCTGATGATCAAATAGTAATATTGTCTAGACCAAATTTAATGCATATATCATATAAAAAGTTCCTATCAATCTATGTCAAAGCTAGCATATTTTATCTGCCTGAATTACTGTCTAAGGTCATCCATCTAGAGATAGAGGCTCAAAGCAGTATTTTTGCCGGTGAAGCCCAATTCTCAGAACAGATAACAGTACAAGACAAATTATGAAAGGCAGGGAAAACAGAGTCCTCAGGAATACTTTCTGAAACACATATGCAATGGCTAGGCTAAGAGACATGTTTCCCACCTGTTCCTAAAAATCTATAAAAATTAGTGGTCATCTGCAGTACCATATATTCTCAGAGCATTCTGCATATACAAAGGCCTTCTTTTATAAGCCTGTCAACATTATCTCTTAAGGCTTCTTTTCTTGGACTTGACATTTTCATAAGCAGATTATCAATCAGAAGATAAGAGTTAATACATCTTTTATTTTGTCTGCATCTCATTTACTGCATCTGAAATATCCAGGTGAAATTTAAAGTTCTGAGATTTGATTTTACATTATCACTATTAACAATATTCTCATAGCTAGAAGATTTTCTTGATTGATAGTTACAACTAATTAATGATCTATTTTTATGTTTAGTACTGTTTTGCTACGCAACATTCAGGTTTTTTTTCTCCTGGACTCTCCTAGGACTGCTAGAAGAGATATGCTAGCCCAAAGTATGACAAGGGTAAAAACTAAGCCAAAAACTGCAGATGCCATCTGGACTTCACTCTTTCCAATTCTTTCTTTTTTAACAGTTTTATTGACCTTTTCTGTAAGTTTAATTTTTTCAGTTGTTGAATATATTTTCTAAAATTATTCACCGTTTATTCTATTAGCAGGCTGTACCATAGTTTTCTCCATATATTCTAATGGTGTCTTTTGGATCTAGAAATTGTGGTGCTGCTTCTACTGACTTTCTAGATATTCACTGAAAAAGTCAAC